ACATACGCTTAACTGCTACGCCACCAGGCTGGCCCCAGTCTAGTCCTTTTTAATTTCCAATTCCCCAAGTTTTCCTAACTTTATTTTTAAAATTATTTTTCAGCTTTATTGAGGTATAATTGACAAATAAAATTGTAACATTTATTTAATTGAAATTTTTTTGTGTACAGCACAATGAACTTTAATGTCCCCTTTAGGGGAGGGGAGCACACTTGCCTTTTTGGAGACACCCAAAGGTTGTCTGGCACTTTGGTGCAGGAAGGATTTGATCCAATCCTTTGCTGGCTTAGGGAGCTGAAAGGCACATAAAGTTGGTGGCTCAAACTGCTCTGGGCTGGGGTTGAGCAGAAGGTGGACAAGAAGGTGGTTTGTGCAGATGGGCAGAGCATGAGTATGGGCTCAAGTTCTTGTTGGCAGAGGTCCTGGGTGGATGCTGGGGCAGCTAAGGGCAGCTTGAGCACTGAGGCTGGGTAGATGCTGTGGTGGTCCTCATCTGCACAGTCCACCAGTTTCAATGCTCTGGAACCACAGCTGCATCTCTCTCTGGGCCTCCTCCGTAGAGTTGCTGGTGTGGGTGACATGCTGGTGTGGGTGGTGCTGATGTGGATGCTGAAGTCTCCCTGATGGTGCCCAGGGCAGCCTCAGCTGAGTCAGTGTGGACCACAATGGGGCCGTCCCAGACCATGGCCCAGAAGACCATGACCACTGTAGGGCCAGAGCTCCTATAGCTGGTGAGGGATAGGTAGAAGGGCTTCCTCAGGAGTTCGCAGGTCATGCTAGTGCTCAGCAAGTGTGCGTCCCTGGCGCCAATGGCATCTTCAGCCCCACCTGCTTGAATCCCCGCCTTTCAAAGCACTGAATCTCATTCCTGATGACTTGCCTCTGCACCCCATCTGGCCTCACTGTGACCAGAGTCCACTCTTGGGTCCAGGAGGGCCCCCCTGAGCTGGGGTGCATGAGCAGTCTCAGGCTGGGCAGGTGGGCCACACAGCTACCTGACAGCAAGGTGCACCTGAAGAGGCTGCCCAGGCTGCCTGGCCACTGGTTGAGCACTGTGAGGAGCACTGCCCCGATACCTCAGCCCCCACAAAGGAGCAACTGTAATGTATTTAAAGTGTGTAAAGTGATGATCTGATATATGTATATACTGTGGAAGGATTCCCACCCACAATCCAGTCAGTTAACACATCCATCACCTCACTTATTTACCTTTTTTTGTCTGTTTTGGTGATAATACTTAAGTTCTGCTTCCTTAGAATATTTCAATTATACAATACAGTACTATCAACTGTAGTCAACATGTTAAACATTAGATCCTTATACCTTATTCATCATGTAGCTGAAAGTGTGTACGCTTTTGCCAACCTTTCCCATTTCCCCCACTCCTCAGGCCCTGGCAACCACCATTGTACTCTGTTTCCATGAGTTCTATTTTTTTCCTTCTTTTTTTATAGATTCTGCATGTAAATGATACCATATGGTATTTGTCTTTCACTGTCTAGTTTATTTCACTTAGCGTGATGCCCTCTGTGTTCATCTATGTTGTTGTGAGTGACAGGATTTCCTTCTTTTTAAAGGTTGAATGATATTCCATTGTATATATGTATACCACATTTTCTTGATCCATTTATCTGACGTTGGACTCTTAGGTTGTTTCTCTACCTTAGCTGTTGTGAATAATGCTGCTATGAACATGGGAGTACAGGTATCTCTTTGATATAATGATTTGTTTCCTTTGGATGTATACCCAGAAATAGGATTGCTGGATCATGTGGTAGTTTTATTTTCAGTTTTTTGAGGAACCTCCATACTGCTTTCCATAGTGGCTGTACCAATTTACTTTCCCACCAGCAGTGCGCAAGGGTTCCCTTTTCTCCACATCCTCACCAACTGTTGTTATCTCTTGTCTTTTTGATAATAGAAATCTTAACAGCTGTGAGGTGATATCTCATTGTGGCTTTGATTTGCATTTCCCCGATGATGAGGGATGTTGAGAACCTTTTCATGTACCTGTTGGATATTTGTATATCTTCTTTGGAAAAATATTTATTCAGGTCCTTTGCCTATTTTTTAGTTGAGTTATTTGGTTTTTTGCTGTTGGGTTGTATGAGTTCCTTGTATGTTGTATATTAAGCCCTTATCAGATTTCCAAATTTTATCATATTTGCAGGTTTGAAAATATTTTCTCCCATTCAGTAGGTTGCCTTTTCATTTTGTTGATGATTTTCTTTACTATACAGATGCTTTTTAGTTTGATGTAGTCCTACTTACTTATTTTTGCTTTTGTTGTCAAATCCGAAAAATCATTGCCAAGGCTGATGTCAAGGAACTGTTTTTTCCAAGGAGTTTTATGATTTCACATTTTATGTTTAAGTCTTTAATCCATTTGAGTTGATTTTTGTATGTGGTGTAAGATAGTGGTCTAGTTTCATTCTTTTGCCTGTGGCTGTCCAGTTTTGCCAACACCATTTATTGAAGAGACTGTTCCTCCCCCACATATATTCTTGGATCTTTTGTCATAAATTAATTGACCATATGTGCATGGGTTTATTTCTGGGCTCTCTATACTGTTCCATTGATCTATGTGTCTGTTTCTCTGCTAATACTATACTGTTTTGATTACTATAGCTTTGTAATATAGCTTGAAATCAGGAAGTGTGATGCCTCCAGCTTTGTTCTTCTTTCTCAAGATTGCTTTGATTATTCAGGGTCTTTTGCAGTTTCATACAAATTTTAGGATTTTTTTTTATTTCTATGAAAAATTTCATTGGAATTTTGATAGAGATTTCTTTGAATCTGTAGATTGATTTGGGTAGTATAGACGTTGTAACAATATTAATTCTTCTAATCCTAGAGCATGGAATATCTTTCCATTTATTTGTGTTGTTTAATATCCACATATTTGTGAATTTTACAGTTTTCTTCTTGCAATTGATTCCTAGTCTTATACCATTTTGGTTGGAAAAGATGCTTGATATTATTTGAATCTTCTTAAATTTATTAAGGCTTGTTTTGTGTCCTAATGTATGATCTATGCTGTAGAATGTTCCGTGTGTGCTTGAGAAGATTGTGTATTTTGCTGCTGTTGGATGAAATGTTCTGTATGTGTCTAATAGGCTCATCTGGTCTAATGTGTCATTCAAGTCCAATGTTTCCTTATTGATTTTCTGTCTGGATGATCATTGTTGAAAGTGGGACATGAATTAAATTATTTTTCACGGATCCTAGATTTGTTGCCAAAGTTCTTATGGAAAGTTCTATGTCTATGTTTTAAAATTAAATTCCTAATTTGTTCTCTCTTTTCTAAAAATATACAGTTATTACTACAGAATCTTGCAATGGTATACTTCCTTTTTACCCTTCCCATCCTTTGTGCTCTGTTGTGTCATGTGTTTTGTTTTTTATAAACTACAAAATTCATAATACGTTATTATTTTATTTTGCTTTGAACATCTAATTATATTTGAAAGAAATTTAAACTGATAAAAATATCTTATTTACCCACATGTTTACCATTTTTGGTGCTCTTCATTCCTTTGTGTAGACTGCAATTTCCGCCTACTATTATTTTCTTCTGCTGAAGAACTTCAACATTTCTTATACTGGAAGTCTGTTGGTCATGAATTCTCTGACCTTTTGTTTTTTGAAAAATTTATTTCATCTTCAATTTTTAGAGATAATTTCACTGGGTATAGAATTCTAGGTTGACAGGTTATTTTTTTTTTTTTAAATTTCAGTACCTTAAAAATGTCTCTTTGTCTTCTGACTTGCTCATTATCTGATGACAAATCTGCTATACTTCTTATGTTTATATATTCTGTGTATAATTTGTTGTTTTTCCCCCTCTGGTTGCTTTAAAGATTTTCCCTTTTTCATTGGTTTTCAGCAATTTGATTCTGATGTGCTATGGTGTAGATCGTTTTTGTTTTTTTTAAAAAAATTCTACTTGTGTTTCATTGAGATTCTTGGATCTGTATGTAGATAGTTTTCATCAAACTTGGTAAAATTTTGGCTCTTTTTCTTTTAATATTTTTGCCTCCTTCCTTTTTTCCAGGATGCCAATTACATGTATGGTAGACTTCTTGATAAGATCCCACATATCATTGATGCTTTGTTCATTTTTATTTTCAGTCTTATTTTTTTCTGTTTTCTGTTTTGGATAGTTTCTATGTTCTATCTTAAAGTTCGCTGATCTTTTATTCTGCTATATCTACTCTGCTGTTATTCTCACCTGGCATATTTTTCATTTCCTGCTGTTGATAGTATTCAGATATTTTTAATTTCAGATCTTATATTTTTAAAATTTAGAAGTTTCATTTGGTTTTTTTTTTTATACCTTACGTTTTTCTTTTCATTATGGTTATGCTTTCCTTTACTTATTAAAGATATAGTATATATTTGTTATAGTGTTTAATATTCTTTTCTACTGGTTTCATCCTGTATGTCATTTCTGGGTTTGTTTCTGTTGCTTGATTTTTTTTTTCTGGTTATGCATCATATTTTACTGTTTCTTTGCATGCCTAGGAATTTTTAAATGGATGCTGTGTATCATGAATCATGTATTGTTGGTTGCTGTATTTCATTTTATTCATTTAAATAATATTTATAATCCAGTCCTATAAACTTTTCAGCTCTCTCTTTTTTGTCTAGTGATTGTTTTCCTTTTTCGCTGTTTCAGATGTGGATTTAAATTTTTTAGGTGTTGTCATGAGCATTTTCAAAAAGAAATTTGTGGTTGTATCCCACATTACATACACATCTATCTCACCTGAAGTCCAGAATCATGGAAAAATATTGGCTGCTTGGATCTTTTCTGGGCAAGTGAGGGAGTAAATTTTGAAGCTAATTCATGGTGCACACACATAGAGGTTGGGCTGTGGGTATATTCAGTCTCCTTCACACTAGATGTTGCCCAGGTGCCAGAGGAAAACTGAGGAGTCAGTATGGGATCACAGTGGGTAAGGTGAAGGGTATTTATATTTTTCTTTTTTCCGTTGCAGACATGTTCCCTGGAACCTTCATGAGCCAAAAAGAAGCCAATTTTATTTTATTGGAAACCTGGATTTGAAGTACGTCTTAATGCTCAAGTTGTCTGTTTCTCAGGCTCAGAGACAGTGTTTGACTCTGTGGGGATCAGCTGAAGCAATAGGGGCACCTTACTTTCTGCTTTAGAACCCTCAGGAAGCTCTGATGATTTTGTTCCCTGGATTGAAGCCCTCTTGAGCAGCGATTCTGTCATTTGCAGTGGAACCCAGACCTTAGTGTCTGTGGTGTATTTTACTCACAGTGTGGTTTAGAAAGTGCCCATCCAGGGGCCAGCCCTGTGGTGTAGTGGTTAAGTTTGGCGTGCTCTGCTTCAGCGGCCCAGGATTTGGGGGTTTGGGTTCCAGGCATGGACCTACACCACTCCTAAGCCATGCTGTGGTGGCAGCCCACATACAAAACAGAGGAAGATGGGCACAGGTGTTAGCTCAGGGACAATCTTCCTCAAGTAAAAAAAAGGAAGATTGGCAACAGATGTTAGCTCAGGCAAATCTTCCTCACCAAAGAAGAAGAAGAAGAAGAAGAAGAAGAAGAAGAAAGTGTCCATCCAGAATCTGCAGTTTTAATCTATCCTAAGGAACCTTCTGTCTCAGTTATAAGAGGAGATTTCCGGGCAATAGTTTACAGGGTTTCTAAGACATGACATAGTAGATTGATTATTTATTCAAAAATATGTATTAGACGTCTGCTATACTTCTGATATTGTCTTTGGTGCTGGAGATGGACCAGATGATACACTTTGTGCTGTCAAGAGTAAGGATTCTCTGTAGAGAGGAAGCAAACAACAACATACTAATGACACACAACCCAAGCTAGGGGAATGGACCAGGGAAGACAACAGTGAAGTTACAGCTGAAGGAAATTAGAACGTTGAGCAGGGGTTAACTAGAAGGGGCTGCATGGTATTTCAGGGAGAGGGTCCAGCAAGGGCAGAGTCAGAGATGTGAGAGAACAATTTAAATTAATTAAGGAGATATTAGCTGCTATAACAGGTAAGTCTCAACATCTTGTAATGATAAAGGTTTATTTTCATTTAAGTAAAATCTAAAGTAGGTATTCCTGGTGAGCATATGTCTCCTTCCAAGGAATAATTGAGGGATATATGGTCTTTCTATTCTTTCTATCTTATGGCTTTACCATCTTCATCACATACTTCCAAATTTGCCACTACGCTTGTCTGCATCAAGTCGAAGTCAGTAATTGGAAGAAAGAGCACGGAGAATTTTCGGGGGGAATTTGAACACATTGCTTCTGTTCATATTCTGTTGGCTCGAAGTCAGTCATATAGCCACATCTAAATGCATGGGAAACTGGGAAATGCAGTTGAGTGGTGTGGTCAGGAAGAAAAGGGAATGAGTTTGGTGATTAACTTTCTACCACACGTTACATTTTCTGGGAACTGCGAGTAATGTGATCTGGCTCTCCTAATAGTTTTAAGTGGAGGAACTGTCAAAAAATAAAGCTGGAGAGATAGTGGACTACATCTTGGCTTTCTATATCATGCTGCAGAATTTGGAATCTATTCTAAAGGCACTGGGATTCATTTGAAGAATTTTAATTTGGGAAGTTCATATTTGCATTTAGAAAGATCACGCCAACAGTATTTTTAAGAGGCAGAATAACATGGGAGTTAAGGTCTCATTTCTGGAGGCGCTCTGCCTGAGTGTGCTTCTGGTTGCTTCATTTACAATCAATGGGCCCTTGAGGAAGCCCTCACTCCTTTAATCTTTTATTTTCTAATCTGTAAAATGCAGACGATATTGGTACCTACCTCATAGAATTGTCAAACAAAATAGTAAAGAATTGAGTATAGAGCCTGATGCTGATACAAGGTAATAATAAACCCCTGTCTTTGCTGTTGATGGTGATAGTATCATTGACAGTGACTGGAGAAACATTGGAAGAAGGTGAGAATGAAGCGGGGAAAGAGTCAGAAAACCATCGTGATAACTCAGGGGTGAAACGATGGGTTCTTTCACCAACGTGGTAGCCATAGGACTTAAGGGGAGTTTCATGTTTGAAAATGTTAAGTAGGAGGAATCAACATGTTGTGGTGATCACTTGAAGTGAGAGATGGAGCAAGAGGAACAGGGGGTCTGTGAGTGTGTCTTGGGCGCGCTCTTGCATGGTGGCGCCACTGGCCAAGGCAGGCGATGCAGGGGGGAGCTTCGGAGGGAAGGTTGGTGTGTGGTTTAGGATTTCTGCACTTTCACTTCAACGTCCTGCCATCTAGCACCTTGACTGAGTCCCTTCTTCTCGAGTATAGGGCTCCCTATCCCTCTGGGCCATGTCTCCTGTGAGGACCTTGGTAGACCAGGCTCCTCAGAAGAAGAGGCCTGGAGGAGAAACAGCAGTGGTTTCAGGCCTCAGCTTTTGATGTGAAATTGTCTTTATTGCTTCACTTCCCAGGGCTTTTCTATTCGTGGCTTCGGAGGTGGGGCTGTGGGTCATTCTGTGTCCAGGCCCCTACATCGGTAGTGACCTAGACCTTGGAGGCTTGCCCAGGTAAGTTGTGCTCTAAGGCCCCCGGCTGTGAGTCCATGTGGGCCCCAAGCACATTCAAATGTGAGTTAGAGCAAAGTGTTTGTCTTGGTTTCTATGTACATTGTCTGTTGGCACTATTTTTTCCATTGAATGACATAGAAAATGAATTTTAAAATATTGGGAATTACATAGTATTTGTTTTTTATAAACCTCCACCTTATGGCACCATCATCTCTGTAGTGCCAATGAGGTAAAGTACTTTTTTTAAAAAAATAAAAACTAATGGCTACCACCTTAGCAATATCTTTGTAGGTTCTAGTTTTTTGTGGTGGAAGTCCCAATAGCAAGAAATTGGGTTATCTCTTTCTTTTTTTTTTTTTAAGATTGGCACCTGAGCTAACAACTGTTGCCAATCTTTTCTTTTTTTTTCCTGCTTTGTCTCCCCCCAAATCCCCCCAGTGCATAGTTGTATATCTTAGTTGCAGGTCCTTCTAGTTGTGGCATGTGGGATGCCACCTCAACGTGGCCTGACGAGCGGTGCCATGTCTGCACCTGGGATCCGAACCACTGAAACCCTGGGCCACTGAAGCGGAGCGCGCAAACTTAACCACTCGTCCACGGGGCCGGCCCCTCTTTCCTTTTTTTTAAAGATTTTATTTTTTTCCTTTTTCTCCCCAAAGTCCCCCAGTACATAGTTGTATATTCTTCGTTGTGGGTCCTTCTAGTTGTGGAATGTGGGATGCTGCCTCAGCGTGGTTTGATGAGCAGTGCCATGTCTGTGCCCAGGATTCGAACCAACGAAACACTGGGCCGCCTGCAGTGGAGCGCACAAACTTAAGCACTCGGCCAGGGGGCCAGCCCCCCTCTTTCCTTTTTTTTAAGTATGCTTTTCGGTAAGGAAGATTGGCCCTGAGCTAACATCTGTTGCCAATCTTCCTCTTTTTTCTCTCTCCCCAAAGCCCCAGGACAGACTTATATATCCTAGTTGTAGGTCATTCTAGTTCTTCTCTGGGGGATGCCACCACAGCATGGCTTGATGAGGAGTGCGTACGTCCATGCCCAGGATCTGAACTGACAAACCCAGGCCGTGGAAGCAGAGTGTGCAAACTTAACCACTTGGCCATGAGGCCAGCCCCAGATTCTCTCTCTATTTTTTTTCTTTTTGAGGAAGATTAACCCTGAGCTAACATCTGCTGCCAATCCTCTTTTTGCTGAAGAAGACTGGCTCTGAGCTAACATCCTTGCCCATCTTCCTCTACTTGATATATGGGATGCCTACCACAGCATGGCTTAATGAGTGGTGCATAGGTCCACACCCGGCATTCGAACCAGTGAACCCCGGGCCCCTGAAGTGGATCATGTGAACTTAACCGCTATGCCACCAGGCCAGCCCAGGTTATCTCTTTTTAAAGAGGGTTTTGTTTCCTGTTTTTCTTTTTGCTTCTAATCTTTTTTTTTTTTTTTTTACTGTGGTGAAATACATGTAACATAGAATTTGCCATTTAAAGTGTGCAATTTTGTGGCAATTAAGTACATCAAAAATGTTGAACAACCATCACCACTATCTAGTTCCCGAACTTTTTCATCACCCAAAAAGGAAACCCTATGTCCAGCCACTCCTCCTCACTCCTTCCTCCCAGCCCCTGGCAACCGCAGATTTGCTTTCAGTCTCTATGTATTTGCCTATTCTGTGTATTTCATGTAAATGGAATTGTGCAATACATAACCTTTTGTATCTTTCATCTTTCCCTTAGCATAAGGTTTTCAGGGTTCTTCCATGTTGTAGCATGTACCCGTTCTTCATTCCTTTCTTATGGCCAAAGATTATTTCATTAAAGAGCATTTTTTAAAAGCTTTGGAACAGCTTTATAAAAATCTCACTCCAGACTAGGGGTTGGCAGACTTTCTGTAAAAGGCCAGACAGTAAACATTTTCAGCTTTGAGGGCCACATGTGGTCTCTGCTGTGACTGCTGATGCTGCTGTTGTGGCAGAACACGGGGAGACAGCCGAGAATGCATGGGCGTGGCCGGGTCCCGATAAGACTGTGTTTACAGAAACAGACAGTGGCTCTGATTGGCCTGTGGGCTGCAGTTTGGTGACCCTGCTCTAGACCGTGTCATTGTTATACAACCCTCATTTGTATTCTGAGGAAAGAGGTGGTGGCTAAGGTGCTGAGCAATTTGTAAGTGGAACACAGACTGCTTTTTCTTAAAGATGGGTTAAAATCTCACAATATACTGTTCCAGGGTGGCTGTGCAAATTTGGGCTGTCCATGTTTTCCAGCCTCATATGCTTGAACATTTCTTATTGCTACCTCCCACCCCGAGTCTGAGCCTTGCCTTTTTAATCCTAGCTGGTTACTCCAGGATCCAAAAATGAAGCTGAGAACAACTTACAAGGGCTTCACTAAAGCCGTGAATCGCTATTTTGACATGCTGGTTCCCAGGATAGCACCACTCCAGGTAAAACCCAGTTCCCTATCTCTATGACCCAGGAGGTTTTTAGTATACGTCCCCTGAAATAAAACCATGGTGTCATGCCTACTCATTGTTTAAGTACAAATAGTGTGCCACTCTATTTCTAAAATGGCTGGAAAATGTAAAAAGGACTACATACTAGGTAGACAATGAGCAGAGGAAAAGGACAAATGTATAATATTTGCTAGGTGTCAAGCTTTGCACTAGGCAGTTAATTATCTAGCATATTTCATCCTCACAGTAATCATTTGAAGGAGATTGAATGGAGGCAATGAACAGGCTTGTACATGGCCACGAGACAGCTTCACATAATGTGAATTTACTAGGGACAGAGTTGGTTCCTAACGTTGTGAGTATACAAGAGTTAATCAGGCTCAGGGAAGCCATTAGAACAATTCAGTGACTGAAGAGCAGGAGTCAGTGTGCTATGTGGAGGATTGTAGGGATAGTCCTTTACAGAAATTAGAGCTGTGCTCTCCATTATGGTCACCATAGCCACCCGCAGCTATTCAAACTTAAATTAATTAAAATTAAATAAAATAAAAAATTCAGCTCCTCATTCACACCAGACACATTTAAGTGCTCAGTAGCCACACGTGGATGTATGGCTGCAATCACGGGACATTTTCATCACTGCGGAGAGTTCTCCCAGGCAGGGTTGAACCAGACTGCTCACCCCAAATCAGCACTTCTCAGCCTTGAACCTGCCGGAAAACCAAATAGTCTTCAGAAATTTGCTTGTTGAGCATGAAATCAGGGCCTAAGGAGGTTGGGAGGTTTCAAAAGCATTTTATTGTGTCCTGATGAATCAGCACTTGCAACTGAGTTTCCTTCTTTTAGAACTTTCCATTCTATTTATCATAGGCAGGGTCTCTTGCTTCAGGTAATTCCAGGTACTGTCAACTTCTGACTCTTTCCTCTTTCCTTTTCTGTTCTCTAATCTGCTAGATTCCTCCTTGGATGAATGAGAAGGAGGAAAAGAGAAGCAGGTTTTGATAAAATTTTTCAGTGTTTGTCAGCAGAGGATGAGATTTAAAGGTTTGAGAAACACTCTTTTAGGCTTTGTGTCCTCTTTTCTCCCCTATCAGAGTACGATACAGCCAGTTATTCCTTGCTTGCTAAGTATTCTCCCATTTCAACTCTCCACCCAGAGTTTCTCCTACGTCTTGTTGATCACAGTTTTTGGTGTGCAAACACTTCAGTCACACTTATGCATAGCCCTAGCTGTTGCCCAGATTCTTACTTGCATTGTTGGCATAGAGTTTAATTTTTAGAGGTCAACACTATTTTTTCTTATTTCTACATGCTGGGAGGGGTACCTTGTGGTATGTGTGTGTCTCCAAGAGTAGGTTGAAGAGGTGCAGAAGTGGGCACAACGAAACTTGCCTAGGATGTGGTAGGTGCACAATATGAGGAGAAAACATGACAGCTGCACTGGAGAGAGCTATTAAGATAGGAATAATTGAGCTTGTTAACATAGACAGAAAGGAACCAAGAGGGAGGGAAAATGAGAAGATGTTTGCAAGAGGGCATAATTAAGAGAGCATAAGGCGGTGTGACCCAGCACAAAGTTAGGATTAATAGAGAACCATGAGAGGGGCTGGCCCCATGGCCGAGTGGTTAAGTTTGTGCGCTCCGCTGCAGGCGGCCCAGTGTTTCGTTGGTTCGAATCCTGGGCGCGGACATGGCACTGCTCATCAGACCACGCTGAGGCAGCGTCCCACATGCCACAACTAGAAGGACCCACAACGAAGAATATACAGCTATGTACCGGGAGGCTTTGGGGAGAAAAAGGAAAAAAATAAAATCTTAAAAAAAAAAATAGAGAACCATGAGAAACATCAACTTTTAAGAGGTGGGTAGGGCAAGAGGCACTCACAAAGGAGTCTGAGAAGGAGTGACCAGAGAGGCAGGCCAGAAACTAGGAGAGGACATGTTACAGAAGACAGCAGAAGAGAGGGTCTCAAAAAGGAGAAGATAGCCAAGAGTGTCAAATGTTGCTGAGGGATAGATTAAATTAGGATTAAAATTTACTGTTTGAATTTAGCAAGGAGAAGGTCAATGTTAACAATGAAGGTGGAATGGAAAGAGTAGAAGTGAGATGACAGTGAGTAAAGGAGTAGATGAGAAGATAAGTCAAGAATGAGTGAAGAAATTTTTCACAGTTTGTCTATGAAGGTGAAGAGGGCAAGAGGGTGGTAACTGGAGGTGGAAGTGGTCCGGGCAAGTCATTTTTAACATAGGACTTTGAGTCAATTTAAATGATGGTTGGAAGGGTTTAGTAGAGAAGGAGAAGATACAGAAGACAGAGGAATACTCCAAAGAGCAAAGTTCCTGAGAAGTGGGAAGGAGATGAGATCTAGCACACATGAGGTAAGACAATGCTTAGATAGGATGGGGGCCATTTTGCTAATTTAAGTAGTACTAAGGCAGAAAGGGTGGAAGTGGAGACTTGAAACCTCATGCTTAACCCATTGAACTAGGGGGAAAATGATGGGCGTTAATTAATTAGGGAGTACTAGGAAAGGTAGGATTCTAAGAGCAGTTGACCTTTGGTGACTGCTGACTGTAGAGTGAGAGAAATTGCCTGAACTATAGTTAAATTGGTGTTGAGTTTAATAATATTATTTTTATGGCACTCTAAAAATGTGTATGCAACAGCAAATTGAGAAAATCCAGCCTTTCCCCACTAGTAGCTTCACTGTTAAACTCTCCTCTCCTTGACCTTCAGTACAAAAACGGAGGCCCCATCATTGCTGTGCAGGTCGAGAATGAATATGGTTCATATCATCTGGATAAAAGATACATGTTGTATATTAAAAAGGTTAGTACTCCTTTAATTTTTCTCCATATTTACATACTTCTTTTTTCACTTTGTTAGTTTGCGGAGCAAACATATCCTGAGTAGCTATAGCTTGCATGGTACCATGGGATATGAGGATGAATAAGACCCAGTGTAATTTTCCCCATGCTTTTACCTCCTAGAGAGGGGACTGGGAACTACCTACACAACTCCAATGTGAGGCAAAAGTGATGTCAAAATATTTTTTCTTTCTGTAGATGTCACAGCTCTCTTTTGGTTAGTGTTTGTGTAATACATGCTTTTCTGTCCTTTTCCTTTTAATTTTTCCATATCCATATATTTAAGGTACATACCTTGTAAGCAGTCTATAATTAGAATCTGTTTTTGTTAATCCATTATGAAAATTCTTGTTGTTTAAATGAGGAATTTGGTTTGTTTACATTTAATAAAATTACTGACATTTGCATTTAAATACCATCTTGTTATTTTCTTTCTATTTTTCTTGTTCTATGGTCCTTTTTCTCTTCTTTCTTCTTTTGGATTGAGTATTTTTTATTATTCCATTTTCTCCTCTATTAGCTTGTTATCAGTTTTCACTTTTCTTTTAGAATTGGCCATAGAGACTAAACTATTCATCCTTGAATTATTAATGTCTAATATAAGTTAATATATTTGCCAGTTCCAGGGCAAAGAAAGCACCTGAAAACAGTTTAATTGCATTTTCCTCCCTTCTATCTTAGATACTGTTTTGTTGTCATTTCTTTTAATGCTATATATATTTTAGACCCACAAGACATTATTATTATCATTATTATACAGAGTCATTTAGATTTACCCACATAATTTACTTTTTGTTGCTTTTTCCCCCTCTGCATCTCTGACTTGATCTCTCTTATCATTTTCTTCTGCCTGAAGAGCATCTTTTTGTAGTTTCTTTGTCACAGATATGCTGTTCTTTCACTTTTTGTTTCTCTGAAAATGTGTCTAGTCCACCATCCTTTTGAAAGATATTTTTGCTGTATGTAGAATTCTAGATTGGCAATTATTTTCTTTGAGAATTCTCTGGTATACATTGTTTCTATTAAGAAGTAAAGTATAGATGAGATTATTGTTAAAATGTCATTTTTCTTCTGGATTCTTTTAAGATATTTTTCTTTTATTTTTAGCAATTTTACTAAGATTTGGCTAGGTGTGGGGTTTTTTGACTTATCCTGCTTACACTTTTTGCCCTCATCAATTTGTGGCTTGAAGTCTTTAATCAGTTTTAGAAAATCCTCAGCAATTATCTGCTCCATTTTCTCTCTCCTCTCCTCTGGGACTTCAGTTACAGAAATGTTAGATATTTTCATCATATCCCACATGTCTACCATGCTCTTTTCTGGATAATTTCTTCTGTACTATCTTCTAATTTACTAATTTTCTCTTCAGCTTTGTCTAATTTGATGTTAAACCTGCCCCATTAAGTTCTTAACTTCAGATATTGTAATTTTTAGTTCTTGAATTCTCATTTGATTATTTTCTATAGTTTCCATTTCTTTGCCAAAATTTTCCATTTTTCTTTAATTCCTTGAGCATATTATAGTTATTTCAAAATGTATGTCTAATAGACCTAATATCTGATCTCATATGTCTGTTTCTTTTTTTTCTTCTCCTGGTTTCAGTAAAGTATTCTAATGATTTTTCAATCTAACGTCAGACATTTATTTATGAAAACACTATTGAGATCATTTGAAGCTCTTGATAATCTTTCAGATGGCTTTATTTTTGCTTCTGGAAGGTAATTGCAATAATTTGGAGCTGAGCTTCAGTCCTTATGAGAGCAAGTCTAATTCTTGTTCACTCTTACTCCTGCAGGGCAGCCCTTTGGGTCCCAGCTGAAAGACTAGGGTTTGTCGTGGCCCCTCCACCTTGGCAGTCCCTGAGCTGCAGTTTCTTTCCCCCAGTCTCATAAAGTTCAGTTCTGGGAAATCTGTTCAGCTTCTCAGTCTCAGCTGATGCTTCAGGAGTCAGCCAACAGCTCAAGGGAAAAGCAGTGAGCAATGCTAGGCTCACCTCTCTAACTCCCGGGGAACTCGGCTCCTCAAGTCCTGCCTTCATATATGTCTAGTATCTTCAAATACATTTTTAAAAAATATTTTTGTCCAGCTCGTCTAGTTGTTATTAGAAAGAAGGTTAGTCTGAAACAAAACCACCAACCCTAGAAGTGGAAGCTGTGCTGCGATCCCTGTGAGTAGGATCTGTGAACCTCTCTTTCATTCTCAAGTGTTCTAGTTTAGATGAAAGCTCCGTGGCCACCTACCAGTTGGCCACATTGCTCACTGGGGCCAGAGGCTTGAAACGCTGCTCCTGACAGGACTTGTGGTGGCAGAGGGTGGCCTGGGATTAATGTATGACGTGCTGGCTCCTTTCACTTATTCAATTCATCTCGCAGTCTTCCCTGTTTTTCAAAGAGTGCAACAGAAGCAGACGACCTCCTATACCTAACAAGCATGGGGTTAGCATGGGGGTTATTGCAGGGGCAACTTCACTGTCGGGATGTTCTGATCAAAGGCCCAGGAAGCATACCTTCGGCTTTTCTCAGTACCCATGGCCATTGTCTCAATGTTTTACTCCTCAAGTAGATAAGTTCCTTAGCCTCTTCTCTCTGTCTTTGATTTAGAATCTCCCTAGAGTGACTTTTAAAGTACGGACATTAAAGGCTCTTGTAGCAGTAAGAGTGACCATGGATTGACTAAGCCAAAACTTACCAGAGTTGCCATTGACCAAAGGAAAATCAGCAGTTGTATGTGTGTTCCCAAATCCGTCCTACAATTGGGCGCATGGGGTGTAGTTAATTTGAGTGAAAGTGTGGAGGAGGAGGTTTATCTGAAGCTGTCTGGTATACTGGAGAAAATCCAGGATTTGGGTCCTTAGGGGAAGGCACTGTATTAAGCTGAATGCAAACAGTCCCACTGCCTCTTCCTTTAGGCTTCACGTTGTTATTGTTACTTTGGCCTTGCTGAGTGTGGCTGAGGCAGGAATGATGTTTTTGTTCTAATTTACTAACTTACAGGTAATCAGATGGGATAATTAGACCTTCTTTTCCATTCCTCAGCTTTATTCCAGTATTTTTATTGCCATTGCTTTTTCTAGAGAGAAGCAATCCCATGGCATCAGGGGCAGTCACTTACCTTGCTGAATTTCCCCACAGGCCCTGGTGAAAAGGGGAGTGGATGTGCTGCTCATGACTGCTGATGATGGAGAAGGACTGATAAGAGGCCACTTGGAAAAGGGTACAATTTTGTTTTTGCCCTATTTCCTCTACTACTTGAGTCTGAAACAGACAGGGGTCCTTCTGATGCTTCATCTTTCCCATTTCCCAGGGATGGGGCCCCATGGCCTTTAGGTAAAAGTGGCGGGGCTGAATTAAGGAGCCAGTCCCCACCTTGCTGCTCCACTAGCTTTTACCCTCAGAGCCCCAACAATTCAGAAAACTTACTCTATCCTCTTCAATCTTCGATGGCTAAAGTGGGGCCTGGCTGGAACAGAGTGAAGGCCATCTCTGTCATTGCCAAATGGCCATGACTGGGTAACGGAAAGTGGATACAGTGTCAGAGAAACAGTACTGCCTCGGACCCACCCCAAGAGCTTAGGGGCAAATAATCTAGGAAACAAAGCAGTAGAGAAACATGGGATAGAATTATAGGGAGGAAATGTGGGTCGGTACACAGCAATATGGAGAAAGGAAATGTGCTGACAACTAGTGCCAGAGAACAACACTTTTGGAATTCTTTACCCCAGTCTGCCAGGTGCTTTCTCCTCTGCTGGCCTCCCCCCCGGTCATTTGGTGGCCCCCTTCCTCTTGTGGTGGAAGAGGCAGAACAATATTCAGGGTTAGAAGTCAGGAGACCTATAGTTGAATTTTAGCTCTTGGGTTCTACACCTCTCTGGGCTCAACTTCTTGATTTGGCCTTCATTTATTTGGTAACTAATTAATTAATTAATTATGGTAAATATACCATAATGTGGTATATTTAACTGCCCCGATTCTCTGGGTCATTCATTGCAGATGATAAATGAAGAGATATATTTGGAAGCACTTTGTGAGTGCCTGTGTGCATACAGTTGTAGGATCCTATCTTTATTATTGACCGTAAGCCATGAAGTGGAACGTGAAATATCTGTGAGGGGTATGTGCAGGATATGTCGAGGCCCAGCTCTCCATCCTGGGTCTAGGAGTAAATTTTCTCCCTTGCCTCGCAGTGCTTGGAGCTGGACCTTATGCAGAGTTTCTCCTTTTCCTCCACAGTGATTGCCACTGTCCACATGAAGAATATAAAGAAAGAAACTTATGAAAAGCTCTCTTCAATTCAAGTAAGGACATTTCAGGGATGGGAGACATTTTGATTCTTGCTCATGCCTAGGACCACTTAGCTCATTTGTTGCGGAAATTCTCAGCAGTGATTAGTTCAGTTAAACCTTGCATTTATTATGCCCTTGAAATGCCTGCTCTGGGTGGTTTCAGGTGCAACTAAATCAAATTCACATGCCCACAGTGCTCGGCCCGTGGCCCCTTCAAAGGACACAGGATGAGAAACATAGCCTACTAGCAGGGCAGCATCAGTGGGAGTCCTCACAGTAGGCCAGGGACCTTGCTCCCAGGTGACACCTCAGGTTTCAGGGAATGGGAGCACACACATGAGTGGGAGCCACTCCTGGCAGAGGAGCCTCAAGCTCAGTATAGGAACCAACCAGTATCCTTTATCATAGCTCCATAGGCATAGCTTCCAGGTCTGCTAAGGGGAACTCTTGGTTTCAAGATAGACAGTACTCGGGAAGCTATGGCTCCCATCAGGAATTTTTACATCATTCATAGTCCTCCAGTCCAAAGGCAGTTTCCTAATCAGAGGTCATTTTTACCATAGCAATCTGCCTGATAACGTGGGTAATATTCTACCTTTATCAGGTTTTCAGTGGACCTAAAGTCAATTTGCATGAGCAAAGAGAAAGAATTTTGTTAACCCTTTACTCATAGCCCCATTCACCTTTAACTACTTATGGTCCAATGAGAAACACAAGAAATACAAGTAAGCAACACAAGATAGGAACTGCTAATTGCAGTAAAAGTATTAAGGGGTAACTGGAGGTCAGCGGGTGGCATAGATTTCTATCTCAGAGGAGATCAGTGGTTACTGTTTCATTTTGCACAGAACTGAGCTATATGGTATTAGGAGTAAAAGAAGTATCTGTTAATTACTATCAACATAAAGCAGTGTCTGGAATTCTGAGTTAAATCCCTAATCCTGTCCTCCCACAGTCTGGGACAGCACTAAGATTTAGAGAAGAGTACAAAGGGCTGAGAATCCAGCCGCGTACTGACAGGGCCAACATCAGGAAATGGTGCAAGTAGTACAGAGATGTGCAGGGGTTAGGCTGCGTGCATTCCAAGAGAAGATGAAGAGGGAATATAATTCTTGGGCAACGTAAACACTCAAATGGATGCTAACATCGTGATCATAGTGATGATGTTGGTGATGATGATGATGATGATGATCATGATGAAGGATGAGAAGGAAGAATTGGGGGGCAATAAAACCAGTGGAAAAGGCAACCTATGGAATGGGAGAAAATATTTGCAAGCCATGTCTGATAAGGGGTTAATATCGAAAATATACAAGGAACTCATATAACTCTATAGCAAAAAACCAAATAACCCAATTAAAAAATGAGCAAAGGACCTGAATAGACAATTTGCCAAAGAAGACATACAAATGTCCAACAGGTACATGAAAAGGCACTCAACATCCCTAATTTTGGGGGAAATGCAAATCAAAATCACAGTGAGATACCACCTCACACTTGTTAGGAAAGCTATTTTCAAAAATAAAAGAGAAAACAAATGCTGGTGAGGGTTAGAGAAAAGGGAACCCCTGTGCACTGTTTGTGGGAATGTAAACTGGTACAGCCACTATGGAAAACAGCATAGAGGTTCGTCAAGGAATTAAAAATAGAGCTACCATCTGATCCAGCAATCCCACTTCTGGGTGTATGTGCCAAGGAAATGAAATCAGTATCCTGAAGAGATAGCTGTAATCCCATGTTCATAGCAGCATAACAATCGCGAGTGTATGGAAACAACCTAAGTGTGTGGTGACAGGTGAATGGATAAAGAAAATGTGATGTATATGTGTATATAAAATGGAGTGTACTCAGCCTTAAAAGAGAAGGAAATCTGTCACTTGTGACAACATGGATGAACCTGGAGAGCATTATGCTAAGTGAAATAAACCAGACAGCAAAAGACAGATAACAAATATCATATGGTATTGCTTCTATGTGGAAGGTGAAAAAGGAAAAGGAAACTCATAAAACCGAGAGTAGAAAAGTGGCTGCCAGAGCCTGGGGGGAGTGTGTAGGGGAAACTGGGAGAGGTTGGTAAAAGGATACAAAGTTTCACTTATGAGATAAATAAAGTCTGAGGATCTAATGTATAGTATAGTGACTATAGTTGATGATACTGTATGGTATAATTGAGAAATGTTAAGAGAGTAAAATGTAAATGTTCTTACCAAAAGAAAAAAAAAAAGAACTTGAGAATGAGTCTCACATTAAAGGTAAGATTCATTTGATGGCATCTTTAAAATTTAGGAGTATTTTCATGTGAAAGGGAAATTCTTTGTAGTCCTGGAGAACAGAATTAGTTTCAGTGGGTAAAATGAATAACAAAACATATATTGCCCAATATAAGGATTGTAATTTATAGCAATTTGAATTTTTCAAAAATGGAATGGACTGCCTTGTGTGGCGATGAATCACATGAAAATACAGTGGCCACAGAATGACTGTGTTGAGCTGGCAGTGCCTATCGAGGGGAGAAGTGATGTTCTAGACAACCTCAAAGAAAAAGTCTTTTCTAATGTAAGAATCTATGATTTGGGGATTCTGTGAAGTTGAGAGGAAGGAAGCTGAAGGGGCTTGAACCACATGGCTTCAGTTTCATAAGCCTTAAAGGAATGAGAACATTATTTTTGGAATTCAATAGAATTTTTAAAAAATGTTAAATATGCCAGGCCTGAATGTAAAGAATGCCAGGCAGAAATAAGTGTAAAGATAAGTCAAATCACATGATTTTGTGGTGGATCAAGTTGGCAGTGTTCTTTTTGGCTTTCTTGGAATCATTTGGCAGCTTAGTCCTGAACATGGATGCTACAGGGGGCTACATGTAAGGGCTCCAGAGGGAGATTGTGGTGGCAATGAGAGCACAAATTCAAAGGATGAGTTGACTTTGCAGTGAGAGAAGGAGCCTGATTGAAAAGGCTCACTCCGAGTCCAAGCCTGAGTGGAGAGGCTTGTTTATCCCAATGGCTTGGGAAGGTGAAGGAACTAGACATGACACGAGGATGGCAAAAGAGAAGAGTGAGAGCTGAGAGATGTGGGGGAATTCTGCGATTTGGGAATTCTCGTTTATGAGATTCAATATTTTTTGGCGGTCATTTGTTGAACATTTTTAGTGCTTCCTCTGGGTCAGCCACTTTCTTAATAGATAGACTTCTACTCCGGTCACTCAAGGGAAGGAAGAGAGTCTGTTGTTCTAGAAAGGGAAATGTGGCCATGGCAGTTGATTTTACCAAAGCCTGAGTGAGACGGCCAGTGAAACCACATAAGGAATAATGAGACCAGGAAATGATGTGAGAATGGGAGGGTAGAACTCAGAGAGTTTGTGAGCAGTCAGGGGCTTCTTAGAGTTGTAAAGGGGGTTTGTGAGAACTGGGCCTTACAATTCCCTCCTAAGCAATTCAGGGCTTATAAGTTGCACCAAACTTTATGAAATTGGCCCTTCATTTTCTTCAGGGTCGTAGCCCCATATTGATGATGGTATATACAGCAAACTCTTTGGATGGATGGGGCACTCTCCGCCATACTCTGGATGAAAATGGTGAGTACTCCTTAGTCCCTTTCTTGGGAGAATAGATGATACAGATGGCACTGGCCTGTTTTTTTCTGCTCAGTAGAGTACTTGAGATTTAGGGGACAAGGCCACAGATCTTATAGCTTCGTAGGTATCAATGTGATGAAGTAGACACCTTACGTCTACATCTGTGCAGGTAAAATGACAGCATAGAATGGGCCCCCCAGAGGTCATTGTAACTGAAGTTGAAATTTTAGCAGAGTTTCCATTCTTATTACATGTTATTGAGGCTGTTAAAGTAATTAGAGTGAGTTGTTCTGACAGATGGAGCAATTCAATGGAAGTATGTTGGGTGGAAGTAGAATATTGTCTGGTCCCAGATTGTCTGCCATGTTCTTCCTGGAGAATTGATGAAGATCATTCAAATGTGGTTTGAAGGTTAACGTTCCTGGTGCCGTGCTTTCAGATCAGTCACTGTGAGAAGTTACTAAGTGCTTCAGAAACACTGGGCTGGACCTACTTTTACCTAAGACAAAGATGCGCAAACAGATGTTGAATATACAGTTTGAAAAATCCCCCAAGGGGCTATTAATTCTCTCAAATTTTAGTTCTCTTCCCCATTTCTCCTTTTCTTTCTCCCTATATGCAGTGTTAATGAAAGACGTGCGTGAAATGTTCAACTTGAGGTTCTCCCTCAACTTCTATATGTTCCATGGTGGCACCAACTTTGGCTTCATGGGTGGAGCTGCATCTTTACAGAATTATCTCCCTACGGTCACCAGCTATGGCAAGTACTTCTCCCCAAAGTTGCCTCCAACCTAGGCCACCCACCGTTTGAGACTGGATCTTCCCAGGGTGGGCCTCTGAGAACGGTCTCTGGAACTGTTCCTCTGTTTTGCCTTTAACGGATGCTGGGAATTGAGGGTTTGATATTTGTTCTTTTGACAGTACTAGAATTTATCCACCACTAGAATCTAGGCTGTGTGAGACTTTACAAGTAGAGAAATCAGTAGCTTAATCTTGTCTATCCACTGTGCAGACCCTTGCTCTTAGAGATTCACTGCAAAACCCATTACTTTGGATCTCTTACTAGCATCAGGGTATTCGTTAACAGGTTTTCCCCAGTCTCCAACTCTACTAAGAAACCAAGTGAAAAGTCAATGATGAAAGAAAGAGAGGAGTTCATTTAGAAGTTGAATAGGAAGGAGAAGCCTCTGGAGTAAACAGCTCTGGGCTCTCACCCAGGGCTTCTTAGATATCCAGGGATTGGTGCTATTTGCCTCCAATAGAAAACATGGAGAGCATGGCAGATGTCTCTTGATTTGGACTAACTGGGACTTGGCATTTTCTTGTCTAATGCCAAAAGTTTTTCCTCCCAAAGCTGCTGTATTAAGGATCCTTTTGCTCAGTACTAAGCTCTCATCTCTTCCCTTGCTGAAGCTGGGGCTTTCTTGGGGAAAGTGACAAATTTCTTTATATTTTTCAGATTATGGGGCACTGCTGACAGAGGACGGAGACTATACACCTGAGTATATTTCATTTCAAGAGTTGTTTAGCTCTGTTATAGGTACCCAGCAACAACCTCAAACTGCATGATAACTCAGCCCCTCAAGTGGTCTCTGTCCTGTGAAGAGGGGGGTGAGGGAATGGATAGAGATGTTCTTTTGGGGAGATGTCCAGCTTGCTTAGTTTATTTGATCATAAGGCACTGGGGATTCAAATACACTCAAGATTCAGGGCCCACCCTCTAGGTGCCCAACATCTAGGGCCATGTAGCTTAGTCTTGGCTGTGCATCAGAATCCTCTGGGGAACTTCTAAAAACCAGAGGTGCCAGGCCCTTCCCGGAGGTGTTAGATAATTATGTCTTTGTGAAATGGGAGAAGGGGGCAGAATCTGAGCATGTGTATTTTCCTGTTAGATGTTAGGAGATTCTGATGAGCAGCCAGGGTTGAGAACTACTGGTCCAGAAGGATTGATGTGCCACTTCCTTTTCCAGGACAGCAGGGCAGCTTGCCTGGGAGCCTATAGATATGAGAGGAATCCCACGCAATTATTGCCTGCCTTATGACTTCCTGGAATTAGGAAGCCATGCTCTGTGGCTGGGCCCTTCATTCTTTGTGGCTTTGGGATAGCCGAGTACATTGTGTCCTTGAATGGGGATGGGAGAGGACCTTGGAATGGCCCAACCTCCTGTTTTTCATTGCAGAGATTCCCAAGCTCTCCAGAGAAGATGCTAGACCTAAGGCTGTATATAAGTCAGTGACAACAGCATACTACATGTCACTGTGGGACATCCTGACCTACCTGGACGAGGTAAGCATTTCCTGGGCATAGAAGCATGGGATAGTTTCTGGACAGAAGAGAGAGGAGGGAAAGAACAGGGAGTAAATTATTGAGGCACAGAAAGCAATCCTTAGCAGTTTTAGTTCCTTCTCCTACTTTTACAATTCAGAATAAGAAACCTAGAATAAGACAATTTGAATTTGAAGAAACAGTGTAAACATTGCAGGATCCTGGGAACATTTCATTTCACAGCCTAGCTGAGAAGAGATCCCTGTCTTCTGAAGATGGTTAGGATGATGGTACACTGGCTGGATCTAGGGCAATCATTTTTAAACTTCTATTTTAGTAGAGGGACTCTTTCTTCAAACTCACTGCAGAGTTCAATACATAAAGCGTGTGCTAGTGAAATCAGGGGTGGTAGTTCTGAGGCTCTGTCCTTTCATCCTCCCTAAGGGTCAGCCATCCCTTCTCTAGGATGATCCATGTGCCACTTCTGACTTACTCCTAGGATTTGAAGGAGCACAGTTTGAAAACCACTGGTCTAGAGGAAAACCTGCGTAGTTATTCATACAACACTTACTAAATATTAATGTTTGAGGAATTGCGTTATCAAGATGTTGTTTCAGGGAACTTTCAGTCATTGGGTAGGAAAGGGGAGTAGATCAGAGATTGGAAGGTTATAGGTTTTGTGGTAGAGGAGTGACAGCAGCACAGCATTGTCAAGGGGACCCAGTGCTGGTTAAAGAACACAAGTCTGAAGTCAGACTGGGTTTGAATCCTTGCTCCAATATTTCACTTAGGCAGGTCATTTAACCTCTTCTACCTAAGCTTCCTCATCTGTAAAATGAAGCTAATAATTTCACTTACCTCATAGGATTGTGTGGATTGAACAGTTAATATTTGTATCTGGCACTTAGGAAGCGCTACATGTGTGCCAGCTGCTGTTGTTATTGTAGGCATGTGTTCAGAATGCTGGGCAATCACAGGATCCAAGATTATATCCCAGTCGAGGTGATTTTGAGATCCAAAGGATGAATGGGAGCTAACACGATGACAGCAGGGCAGAGTGGGAGACGGAAAGCAGTTTGAGGTACAGTGGACACCATGTGTAAAGTCTTGGAAGAAACTGCATGTTTGGGGAACTGCAAATAGGACTGGAGTGAAAAGTCTATGTAGGAGAGTGGCGCATAGGGATCCAGGTACCATATATTGGAGTTCCTTTGTGGTTTTGTTTCTAACTTTTCCTCGTGGAATTTTGAAAACATAAACAAAAGCAGAGAAAATAGTGGTGAACTCCCATGTGCTCATCACCCTGGCTCAGCTTGATCAATATGTGGCTAATCTTGTTTCGTTTATATGCTTATTCTCCCTCCCCCGACTCATTACAAGATTATTTTAAAGCAGATCCTAAACATCATGTATTTCAGCTGTAAATAGTTCAATATGTATCTCAAAACATAAAGATCCTTTTTTAAAAACGCAACTACAAAATCATTATCACCCTTAATAGTAGTAATGATGATGATCATGCTAGTAATAATAATAATCCCTTAAAGTCAGTGATTTCCTGAGAAATATTTAGCAACTGGCTCTCTGGAAGAAAAAACTCTGATTAGTAGTGTTCGCCAGTTCCTGTGGTGTACATACTCCTGTCGTGGCTAATTTCAAGCTACTAACATGAGGACACTGAATACAGACTTGGGGAAAGATGTGCACGGTTGGCTCTTTTAATCTAGTACAAACCAGCTATAGCACACCACCACATAAAATCATAAAATATCCAGTGTTCAAATTTTCTCAATCATGTCATAATTTTTTTTTTTTAGCATTGGTTTGTTAATAACAGGATCCAACTTAGGTCAATCACACATTGCATTTAGTCGATATGTCTCTTTTAATCTAAAGACTTTTTCACCTTTTAATTACATTTATTTGTTGAAGAAGCTGGATTATTTGATCTATAGAATTCCCTACATTCTGAGCTTTGCTGTTTAGATCCTCATGTGTCTGGTAACATGTCTTGATAGTGCCTGCATTTTCTGTAAACTGATGGTTAGATCTAGATGCTTGATGAGAGTTAAGTTCAGTGTTTTTTTTTTTTAATTGTTTGCAAGTGGAGCTTATTGTTTGCATAGGTGGAGCTATTACACTTCTTATGCATTATATCTTAGGCACATAATGGCTGGTTGTTTCTGTTTTCATAATTGATCAGTGGGTTCAGGTATTGTTAGTCCAATCTGTTCATTATTAATTTTCCCATCAGCCTTTTACCTAATGATTTCTGCAGCCATCAATGATTATTACCTATATCCAATACTTCTTTAAGGCTTTTAAAATGGTATCATTCTAATTCTATAATTCCTTCTGCATTTATTCATTTGAATTCTTCTACATAGAGGAACTGTTCTTCGCCAGTAGATTTGGTACCTTGATGTATAGTTTGTACAGAAAAGTCAGGATAAAAGTTCAAGTATTTTGTCAGGATAGTGAATTTATTCCTGGATATCCTCCAAAGATGGCCAATGAGTTGTTTTGTTGTTGTTGCTCTTTGATTATAAACTCACAAACTTTCAACATGTCTAATATGTTTCTACCCCACTATTGTCATTCTTTTTGGTGTTCAAATTGTCCCATCTTATACCAGCAGCAGGAGATCCTTTCAGTCAGCTCCTGTGTCCTTTTGACATGGCTCCATTAGCTTTTGATGTCTTCTTTGCTTTTTGGTTCCCAGGGTGTTTCAGGCTATTTGGCTCCACAGATTTGGAATCATCCATTTCTCCAAGGAGTTCTGAAGGGCCATGTTTTTACACTAAGAAATTTGAACATTTCTCTGAAAGTTATGGGTGGCCATTTTAAAGCAGGGCTGGGAATCAGATGACCAGCTTTGCAATCAGAAGGATTTCTTTGGTAGCTCTGTGGGGAATGGATTATCTTGGGACCATGCTAGAGCACTGGAACCAAATAGAAGTGTACTGAAGTTGAGCTTAGATAGTGGGAAGGAAGGAGAAGGATTAGTGAAACAGATATTTAGAGTCAGGCTCTAATGGAGGTGGTGACTGGTTGATGGGGGATGTTCAGGAAGAGGAAGAGAGAGAAGACATTATCCATGCTTTTTACCTTTTTGACTGGATGGTTGGTATTGCTGTTTTGAAAAGAAAAAGAGTAGGATGGGCAAGTTGTGGTAAATACCATTTGGGAGATATGGCATTAGAAATGTCTATGAACCTTCAGATGGAGAAGTCCAGTGGACTTGAGGGTAGACAGACATGGAGTGCTAGATGAGCAGATTCATGAATAATCATGGTCAGTTATATCATGGGTTAGGATGGGTTCTCTTAGATAGTGTATAAAGGGAAAAGAAGAGAAGGCCAATGATAGACAGAATCTGGCACACTTGGGTTGGGATTCCTAAAATCAGGAGTCTAGTCCAGGCTTCATTGTGAATTGATGAGCAAGTTCAACAAATGATTCCCCTTTTTTGACTTCAGCTTTTCCAGCTGAAAAATAAGAATACACCACTAGTTAGCACACACAGAGAAATATGAGGCTGGTTTGGAAAACAAAAAGGGCAATTTATATGTGACACTTAAGCATGTTTGTCATTACTTATTCCTTTTTTGTACTTCTGTCCCCAAGACTCTGGGGGCCATTTATTTGGAGAAGTGGGCCTTCAGTGGGGGTTTCTAAAGTTTTTTTCTCCAGTCTGAACCTTCGGCCTGGTTTTTGCTCATGTTTCTTCCACAGCCCGTCAGGTCTGCCAAGCCAATCTGCATGGAGAAGCTGTCTGTGAACCAAGGGAGTGGTCAGTCCTATGGGTACATACTTTATGAGACTGTCATCACCACTGGAGGCCTCCTCGCCTCAAGGGGTCATGTTCAAGATCGGGGTCAGGTATGGGACAATGGATGGGTCTCAGTGGCACTTCTCTGCTGGTAAGACCCAGTGGTGTTGCTGAGGTGAATGTCTAACTAATAGTCAAATCTCTTTTTGAGCTTCAAAAACTCATCACGGTTTCTTCACCTCCGTCCCTTCAATGACGCGTTTTCTACGTGAGCTACTGCTCTCATCGGTATAAGGTGTGTAACCATCCTTGGGGAGGGCACTCACTGAACCCTTGTGGGAGTTGATAGTGTTTTTTAAGGAGACTTGGGAAGAGCTTCAGAAGTCCCTGTACTTATTGTATAGCCATCCCTAACACTTACGTAGCACATTACAGTTGGCTCTTCTCGTTTAATTCTCAAAACACCCATCTAAGACATTTATTACAAATGAGGAAACCTCAGAGATGTTAAATGACTTTCAAAGGATCTTTGACTAGAAAGTACCAGAGCAGGGGTTAAAGACTTGATCATCTCACTCCACGTTAAAAAGCTGTTTTCTCCAGGTCTTGATGAAATTTCCTTGCTCTTTCTACTCTCTTTGCTGTCTGTATCACTATCTAAGGCTTCAAATACTCCTTTGTGACTCCAACACTCCCCTACCCCTCGTTAGCTGCAGACACCTATTACTTGCTGCACACTGAATTTTTGTTTTCACTAAGATGTATGTTCCATTGGCTTCTCAAACTCATTATGTCGAAAGCAAATTCATTAGCTTCCTAAATAAACTTCACCCTATATTCCTCCCATCAGCTCATGGACCATAGCCTCCCACCTGAAAATGCTGCTGCCGTCCCTCCCCTCCCCCTCTCTTCACACCTTACTTTCACCAGGCCCCTGTGTGGCACAACGTTACTCAACTGATCTTTGAAAATCCGTGCTGTTGTTGCCTTGTAATTGTCTCTGTTTCTTGCTTCTGCTATTGTTAGAACCTCATAACTGATCGTCCTGTTTCAGAGAGCTCATCTCTGTCCTCTTCCTCACTGAAGCCCTCCCTCATAGTGCCACCAGAGTTTTCTTTCCAACATAGAGATCGCAACATTGCCACTTCTGCACTGAAAATCTCCCATTGATTTCCCTAGTCACTAGCATCGTGTCTGTGAAATAGCCTGGATTCTGCTGTTGGTTAGGACTTGTTATTGCCTTCTCTGTGCTTCCACAGCAGTCTGTCTGCAGTTCCACATTAGCTATTGTGGAGTGTCCTAATGATTTCTTGGTGTAACTCTGAGTTCCTCAGTGGTGGGAGTTGTGTTTTAACCTTGGTGGCCCCTTCCCCGAGGAAATATTTAGTTATTCAGTAAGTGTTCAATAAATGATTGTAGAGTGTATAAAACTTGTAATTAGACTCTACTAAGCTTAAAATGTGAATTATGTGTGCTGTATAATATTAACATTTGTGTGTTTCTAATACTTGTGACTTTTAATTTTTATAGTTTCCTAGTCAAATTTTATTTGAAAAATTGTGCTCTAACTCAATCTAAGGGGCAAGTTATGTCTTATTCTCTGGTCCTGCATGGCTAGAGCAGAGTCTTCTGGGTGGCTTAATCTGGGGCTGAAGCAATATAGTAGGTAATAGAAAAGAAATGGATTTACTTTCAGGACATCCCTAAAATCAGATGTAGTGGTGGCAGCAGCCTTTCCAGGTAAGAGTCTGGGACACCCTGGCAGACTGGACTCACTAGGGAGATGAGCTCCCAGGGTGAGGTGCGCAGGTTCCTGCTGCGCCTAGAGCCCCCACCTCCCCTTTGGCCATCATTTCTTTCACAATATTTGTTCATTCTCTACCTTCTTTCCTCATTCCATGTAGGTCTTTTAAATTTCTTTCTTTCCTTTCTTGCCCTACAGTGGAGCCAGGGCCCAGATTTAGTATCAGGACCCCATTCTCCTATGTGTCATGACTGTACTGCTGTAAACGTGCTCTGTTTTTCTGAACATGGCCACCTTGTTCTGGGAGACAGAGCTAGTCATTGCTTTAGAATTTGCTCTCCTTTGCTTTTCCAAGGCCCGTCTTCCTCCTTTCCTTATGAGGACCTAATAGTGCTTTTCTCTTTCTTTGGCAGGTGTTTTTGGAAGAGAAGTATATAGGAATCCTGGATCATTCCACTAATCAGCTGACTATTCCCAAGGAAAAAGTATATAATCCAGTGTTAATGGACTAATAGTTCTAGTGCCTACCTAGGCCTAGGCTCAATTGTAAGCGTGGCCTGGCCCTGGGATGGCCTGTTTTCTCTTCCACTGTCCTTTGGATTGCTCCCCGTATAGGAGCCCAACAGGGATGAGGGAGAGCTGTGTTTCTTTGAGGTACAGGTATATATGCTTTGAGTGAGCAGAACTTTTCCGTGTTGGATATTTTCTGCTCAAAAAATTCTAGGTTGGTCACCACCCTCAATAGAGTCTCTGGTAAAATGTTCAAGTGACTATTTCCTGCAAGGGCTGGCACAGGAGGGTGGGGGCAGGGCTCAGTAGGAGGAACAGGAGCCCAAGGGTTGACTTGACCCAGAGCTGGCGGTCTGCAGGGTTCGGAGGTTTGCTCTCTGTCATCACCCTGCTTATGGCCTCCTCTTAGTTTCATGGGAGGCCTAAGGGGTCTACAGAAGAGTGCCTGAGTGGTCCGCACTCTGGCTGGTCTGTCTTGGACAGGGCCAGAAGGATTACCTGACATTGAGGATCCTGGTGGAGAATCAAGGCCGACTCGCCTATGGGCAGGATATCAATAAGGAGAGAAAAGGTGGGCACCAGAATGGAGAAGCTTGAGACCTTGAGGCACCAAATTCCTATTGCTCTCAGCTATGGCCAGGCATACAGTGTGGAAGAAAGTGGGATCTCTCAGCCAGTGAGACATCCTTGTGTAGAAACTGTGGCAAGGTCTTGCTTCGATAGGAAAGGATGATGATGTCCTTTCTCCTAGGTTCCCCCGAATTGATGTGTTTTCTAAGTATCATGCCAGCACACCTTTTGCCCTCTTCTGGGTGGGTTTTGAAGAAACCTGTAAAAATGCCCTTGGAAAATAAAATGGTTCGAGTCTCTTCCTAGGAACGTTGGTTTTCCTTCTCTGGAGCCCAGTGCCTGCATCTTGGCTTCACCCTGGGCTCCTAGGCACAGTCACATACCTTCCTTCTCCTACTCTAGGTGCTCCGTCCTACCTGAGAGTTACAGCTAGCCTGAGCTGCCATGCTGGCAAGACCTGGCAGGAGTTGCAGGGACTTCTGCATTGTTAATGTGCAAGCTGTAGGCACAACTCTAAGAGGTGTACATGGACACTCAGAAGGAAGAATCCGTGTAGGATTTTGCAGAAACTTTCCATCCTATGAGTCCAGGAAAATATCCTTCTTCAGGGGGAGCCCTGGCCACAGCCTGTTCACATCTCTGCATTCTTCTCACCACCTTCATGCTCCCTTTCTTCCCTCTTCTGCAGGTTTAACTGGGGATATCTATCTGAACAATTCTCCATTAAGAAACTTTAAAATCTACAGCCTGGAGATGAACCCTAAATTCCTAAAAAGGTGGGTGCCACACCATTGATTCAAGGTGATTTATCAAAGATGGTAAGCATTTAGAGATGGAAAGCAGCTCAGAGACCATCCAGAGTAACCCCCTTGGTTTTCAAATAAGAGAGATCGTGATCCAGAATGTTGAAGGAAATAATCCCAAGTTTCCTGGTTGTTTGGGGCAGAGCAGTGACCTTCCCTTCGTTCTCCCAGCTCCTGGTCTGCTGTTTCATTTCCTGTATCATTGCATCCTGAAAGGCATATGTCTGTGCTACAGAAAGGATACTGGCCTTGGGCAGAGAAGAGACTTACCTCAAAAGTCACAACTGACACATTATAAAGAAGGGCATGACCTTCCCACTGGTGCTTGACTCTCTCTTAGGGGCCTTCCTAAAATCTGGAAACCAGTGATTCACAAACTTCAGGGCCCTGCCTTCTTCCTCGGCATCCTGAGAGTTGGTAATTACCCCAAAGACACCTTCATAAAACTTGAGGTTAGTGCTGTTTCTCCTCTGTCTGTGTCCCCCCACAACTTCTCATCCCATAGAAACTTTGTGAAAAAGCTCTCTGGTGCATGGGCCCTGCCCTGTGTAAGGAAATCTAAGCTCCTGGGGACCTCGACCACTCCACAGCTGTCTGGGAGGCGGCCCCTTCCCTTGTGTTGACTAGGGTCGGGGGGTGGAAGCTAAACAAGCGTGACATGGATGTGAGTGGTGTGTTCTGGTGGGGACAGCTGTAGAATCACTGCACAGGGAATTTAGTGAACATGGCCCACTAGTCTCCAGCCATAATCCAAGACATTGAGACCCTCAATCCCCCAGGAACTCACCGTCTAGCCTGTGGTGGGGTGTTGTAGGTGAGATTCTGATTATTGCCACACCTGAAATTCTGTATGTTTTGGACCCAGCATGTTTTGCTGAATTCCTGATGGTATATGGAATGCCCTTCCCTGATTGGGGCAGATACTGGGAGATGAGTTTTGAATCAGCGCCTTCCTTCTTGGGGCTTGGATGTTGAGCCAACCCCAGGCCAGGGGCAGTAGCACAGAACTCTCCAGGTCATCTCCCATCTAGGGTTGCAGTTGGTAATCCGTCCTGTCTGAGTGTGTCTATGACTATGATCTGGTGTGTTTATGGGGTGTGTGTTTATCTTAACCCCTTGCATCTGTGCATGTAGAACTCAAATCCTGAATCCACCATTCCAACCTTTTTCAGGACTGGACAAAAGGAGTAATATTCATCAATGGACAAAACCTGGGACGCTACTGGAATATAGGTCCCCAGGAGACCTTTTACCTTCCAGGACCCTGGCTTCAACCTGGGTCAAATGAGGTGAACTACCCCCACCTTACCTCCCACCTGCCAGCCCACTCTGCCTGGACTCTGCCTTGCCTCAGAGGCAGAACTTGAATCTCACATCCACCTCACCTTCTTCTTGGCAGATCATCGTGTTTGAGGAATTTAAATCTGGCACAAAGATCCAGTTCACAAACATGTCTCATCTAGGTACAGTATTCTGGAGGGTAATTTGCAGCATCTGGGACAATAGTGTGGTTCTTTCTAGTTGTGATAGAGAGAAAGAAGGCGGAACGTGCACCATCTCCCAGGAACCTGAACCCTTCCTCACTGCCCTTGCATGAGAGCCAGATTTCCTCTTCTACTTGTCACAGCTCCACTCATCCCCTCATCCCCTCCCATTTTACGATGACCTAAATAGTCCACTCCTGTAACAGCCCTAACCCAACTCCCTCAGCCTCCCTTCCTTCCATACATTCCACTGTGCCTCTGGATCCCTATCTCATTGCAAACCAAGGTCCTAACATCCTCCAATTCTTAGCTTTTCTGGAACTTATCATGTTTCCTAATGCTTTTTCTCGTGATGCCATGTTTGACAATTCCAAGGCACTTTTTGTAGCACCCTTTCTCAGGTTGCCATGGGCAGGGGATTCATGGCGCAGTCACAACAGGTGGAAGTGTTGCAGACTCTCTGTGCCTGCCCGTGGTGGATGTCTGGTGTCTGTGTGCTCAGACTCCCTTGCTCCTTTGTTGGTAGCGGGATCCAGATATCCTTTTGGAGAATCACCCACGCTCCCTTCATTAGAGTCTCTAGGGACTCAAAATCCATCTGCCCTTCCTCCCCACCTGCAACTGTCCCTCAGTCCCAGGAGTGGGCCTGTGATGTACGATATACCACCCAGACTTTCTTTTCCAGGATATTGAATCCAGAGTGCCGTGACATAAAGTAGGGAATTGATTGAGCTGAGTCATTTCAACAATGGGGCCGTGAGTAACCTTCCAGTCCTGGCACCCTAGGTCGCTGGAACTACCCTCGCTTCCCCATTTCTCCCAAGCCCCGCTCGGGGTCTACCATCCACTTCCCAATCCATCAGTACGTTCCTCTTTTGGCATAAGTTAGTAAAATAAACCTACTTAATGTGTACCCTTTGTCATATTGCTACAATAAAAGCTGTTTGACCACCAAATAAAATGTTGAAAAAAATGAGAAGATGCTCAGAGTACTTGACCCCACAAATGTAAATCTGAAGCAAAAGTGATCTTTCCAAGAAGTCCAATAAAATATGAAAGTTAATGCAGGAAAATATAGGCAGTTCATATACATGCTTTGTGTTTTCAGTGTCAAAAAAAGTGCTTTCCTTTTATTCCCCAATTCTTGTTCTATACCTCTGCTTTTTCATACTCAGGTAAAAACCCAGCTTCGAGACTTATGCCAGCCAACTGCTTCATCAGGTGCCTCTCCTTATCGCCTTACCATTCTTTCCCCACCTCCTGGTTATCACCTTTGGCACCTGATTCCCAGGTCTTCTTGATTCCCTGTTCTACTCCTAGTCCTCCTAGGAGTGGCTGCAAGCCTTCTGAGCCATAGCAAAGAGCAGAGAGAGCTGTGTAAGTGCCTGGAGTGCATCAAGTTGGTGGCACAGCTTGGGCTGGCAGAGGGGAGATCGATGGAGCTTTGCTGTTTCAAGCCACTGCAAATTCCAGTGCAGTATAACCAGGCCTGGGGTTAGCTGACAGGCTTCTGAGGAGCTTGAAAGAGTGGGTCACCCCAGAGGTGAGTCGGCAGTGCGTCGAGGGCTGCTGAGGGGACTTCCAAGCCAAGACCTAAAGGAATCACAGCCAGACGTCAGAGGTTCTGTGAGCTCCAGTGGAAGCCAGGGTCAGGCCGGTTGTGCACGGGGCTGCAGTCAGCCCCCAGTCAGCCCAGAGAGTCAAGATCATGAGGACGCTTTTTAAAAAAAAAAAAAAAAAAAAAAAAAGATTGGGGGCTGAGCTAACAACTCTTGCCATCTTTTTTTTTCCTTATTCTTCTCCCCAAAGCCCCCCAGTACATAGTTGTACATTCCAGTTGTGAGTGCCTCTGGTTGTGCTACGTGGGACGCCACCTCAGCATGGCCTGATGAGCAGTGCCATGTCTGTGCCCAGGATCCAAACTGGCGAAACCCTGGGCCACCAAAGCAGAGCACGGGAACTTAACCAGTCAGCCATGGGGCCGGCCCCGGATGAGTATGCTTCTTGCATCTATAAATGCCACAGGGCCAGCAGCCCCCATGGGGACAAGGACCTCCACAGTCCCAGGAGGTCATAGGGCAAGAGCTCCCTGCTCAGTGCTTCCTTTGCTGCTACACCCCACCCCACACCTCTCAGTTGAAACCCAGAGAGGAGAAAGCAGCAAAAGTGGCAGCATGGCTCCTTTTTTCTCTGTCTTGCTTCTCCTTCCCACCCTCACCAGAGCTGACAAGTGTCAGGTGGCCCCATATCATGGCCTGTTACTTCCATTGAGCATAAAATTTAGTGTGCATTACAGTCACCTGGAGGGCTTGTTAAAACTCAGATTGCTGGGCCCCATCCCCAGAATTTCTGATTCAGTAGGTCTGTGGTGGGGCCTGAGGATTTGCAGTTCTACCAAGTTCCCAGGTGATGCCAATATTGCTGGTCTGAGGACCCCCACTTTGAGACCCTGTGTCATTGTGTAGGATCTCAACCTCGGCACTGTTACTCTTTGGGGCCAGATTATTCTCTGTGGTGGAGCCATCCTGTGCATTGCAGGATGTGGAGCAGCATCGCTGGTCCCTTTGTACTAGATGCCAGTAGCACCTTCCCTAGTTATGACAACCAAAACTCCCTCCAGATGTTGCCCGATGTCCTCTGGTGGTCGAGATCCCTCCAGGAAAGAACTCCTGGCCATAGAGCATACCTGGTTCTCTTGATCAGAAGTGCTACCTTCCCTGTCCTGCAGGAAAGCACTAGGAGTTGGGGCCTCGTGGGTTGAACCTTTATAAATAAAATGCAAGGATGAATGAATTTGGGAAATCCTCTCTCAAGACGGTAGTCTATCTGTGACTTTATTTTTCTTCTGCATAATCCTGGTTCTGAATGACAGAAACAGCTTATTCTGTCTTTTTGCACTACTTTTGAAATAAATTTTAATACTCCCATAGATGAATGGATTCTTAGGGTAAATTAGGGTAAAAGTCATATATGAAGGAGGCTGAAGAAAAAATCACATTACATGGTAACAAATATACACCTGTAAACAAACAAGCAGGATATGGCGTGATGCTACGAATTATGTACATAAAAGGGAGAGCTCATTACTGCGTCAGGCCCTCTTTCCCGGTCTTCACGATCTCTTAGGGTTCAGGTAACATGCAGAGGACTCACATCAGCCAAGTACTCTCACCTAATCCATGTTCTCCTACTGAAAGAAGCTTTAAAGGCAATATAATCTTGTTTTTTCCTGATAACTGGGTGTTAGTGCCGTAGGTAGAATACCAGGTTGATTGTAGACAAAATATAAGAGCTACAGTTTCTCTACCCAAGTGAGTTGGAGTGTGAATGTCTGTCCTTCTTTAATCATCATCTTTAGGGTCCGTCAGTGTTAGGCATAGAGGAGACACTCAAGCAAGCAAAATTGAGTCACATTGACTACTTCCACCTGGATTCTGTCAAAAACCTCAGCAGGGGGACTAAATGCCTGTTGTATCGAAAGTGAATTTTGATTCTGTTTTTTCAGGGGCAGATTGAAGAAGTTGGTGAGAACCCTGCTATTTTCTCTTGTATCATACCGTGGTCCTTGCATAATTGGAAACATTTCAGTCTGCAAGCTTCCTACCCTTCTAAGCACAGGAACACAAATCTGTCTGGTGGGGGGGAGTGGAGAACCTGAAACCACTTGTAACCTGTTAAAAGCTTAGCTGATTTCTAGAAGCCCTTCCCCTTTCTCCTTCTCTCCCTCCCCTCACAACCTAAATTTACACAGAAAATGCAAGTTCTGCTCATTTTTGACAAATGCATAGAATGAGAGAAAGGTAATCTGTACGGGGGCCTGGAAGGTCTTGTTGCCCCTCTGTAGACTTGCTGTCCTTCAGATCATTCCTTAACCTCCATTCTCATGCCCTTGGGACGCCATCGAGGGCACAGGCAGCAACAGCCAGTTCCACATCCTCCTGCCACCTGAAGTTGGCAGGTAGCTGACTGACCATCCCCAACTTGCTTACTGACATTTGGATGAGCAAAGTCTCCCTTGTTTTGACTGACTAGGAGAAATCCTGAGTGGCAGCCCTCCAATTCCAAACAGACTGCAGAACTGACCCAACAGAGAACCTTGCATTCTGGGGATGGGAATGGTAGATTTATATGTCACCTAACCATCAGAGCACCATCCTGGGAAATCACTTCAGTGGCTGTCACACAGGGGCTAGCTGGCAGTTGCTCCATGACTGCAGCAAAGCCCAGAAGGAAGGCTGCTCAGGGAGCCGGGCAGCTGTGCCCTCGAGGACCTGGGACGCGTCTCTGCTTGATGATACCTCTTGTAGTAAGAATTCTTTCAGTTAAAAGCAGGGCATTTCCTCTTGTTGTTTTGCTTAATAAAACCTATGAGAAGGAAAACTGAGCCCAGGTCTTCTGGAAAGAAGAGATTTTGTGAAGTAATTGGCCCAGGATCTCAACAGAGTTAAGAAGGGGCCTGGTGCTGTTCACCCGTGTGAGGCAGTGGTTCTTCACACCTTGTGTGCATCAGAATCACCTGGGGAGTGGATAAAACATGGTGGTCCAGGCTTATGGAAGGAGCCTAGGGCCAGGACCTCCGTATGTACCACGGTCCCCAGGGGATGCTAATAAACAGCCGACTTTGGGAACCATGGCACTAGGGCGCTGTTCTAAACTTGGTGCACATTGGAATCATCTGGGACATTGGTAAAACTAATGTTTGAGTCCTACACCCAAAAAATTTGATTTGATAGGTATGGAGTATAGCAAGATATAGAGTTTTTAAAAAATTTTAAATATTTATTCATTTAAAAATAATAACAGTAAGGCCACTATCTGTTTTATGAAAAGAAAAAAAAGGCATATTTTAAAAAATTCAATGAGAAGGGCTGGCCCCGTGGCCGAGTGGTTAAGTTCGCACTCTGCTGCAGGCAGCCCAGTGTTTCGTTGGTTCGAATCCTGGGCGCGGACATGGCACTGCTCATCAAACCACGCTGAGGCGGTGTCCCACATGCCACAACTAGAAGGCCCCACAACGAAGAATATACAACTGTGCACCGGGGGGTTTTGGGAAGAAAAAATAAAATCTTTAAAAAAAATTCAATGAGAAATACGTCATTGTTTTACAATTAGGCTTAATAGATGACAGCTGGAGTCTCAGAACTGCTTTTACAGTCAATCTGTTGTGATCTGTTGCTTTGGTTGAAGTGTGTGAAGAAATTCCCCCTCACGCAGACATGTAACTGGAAAAGGAGGGGTATTTTAACAGCCTTTATAGATAATTATTATGGATATTCTTCTTTAGTACCACCCCCAATTTTACAAGAAGTGATTTCTTAAAGCTTGGTTGAAATATGGAATCTAAATTCACACAGATCAACTTTTTGAACTCGGGTACGTTGGAATCTGTTGGTCTGACTTTGCGTGGATCTTTTACTCCACTGTGGTCTTGGAACAGCACGCTTTGATTCACTGAATTGTGCAGGTCTTCAAAAGATTGACACATTTCATTATCCAGCCTGAAAAAGTTCTGTCACTAATATCACCACTAATCTCATGGGAAAAGTCTTTTAATATTTGAGAAGTTGTCAAGCTACTGGTGGTGGATACGAGTTTTCCACAGCACTAATTTTTAATTGAAAGCTCAAGTTTCTTTGTAAACAACAAATACTATCAGTTGTTATCCTTCAAGTGACAGGCTTGCTTTGTTCATTTTTTTTTCTCTTTTTAAATGATAGTTTTATTGAGATATAATTCACATAAGGCAAAATTAACCCTTTTAAGGTGTAAAATTCAGTGGTTTTTAGTACATTCAGAGCTGTGCCCCAACCACCGCTGTCTGACATTAGAGTGTCTTTGTAGCCCCATACCCATTCGCAGTGACTCCCCATCTCCTCCTCTTTCCAGCTTCCCGCAACCACTAGTCTACCTTCTGTCTCTATGGATTTGCCTATTCTGGACTTTTCCTGCAAATGGAATCATGCAATATATGGTCTTTTCTGATGGGCTTCTTTCA